CACTATGCTATCAGAGCTCTCTGTCCATAGTTAGAGGTAAAAGACTGAAAATGCAAAGCTCTATGAGGTATTAGGGAACTCTGGTGGCATACTGCCTAAGTGCCAACCAGAAGGCTGGCGGTTCAAACCCACCAGCCACTCCTCGGAATGAAGATGGGGCAATGTACTTCTGTAGAGATACTGCTTCGGAAACCCAAGGAGGGTTCATTATGAGTCAAATTGACTCCACGGCAGTGAGTTTGTTTTTTTTTTGGTATGAGGCATTAACACATGATTATGAATAAGCTTAACTTTTCATCCAAACGAAAACTTATCTCCAAACCAGACCTTGCTTGTGAACTCGGGGATCTTCCTGCCTTGTCTATTAGCTGCCTATGATATGTACACACACTTAACCCAAATCCAGAGGCTTAAGCTGAACTCTTTATCTCCATTAGCCATATCCCACCTTTCTCCCATAATTTCTACATTAAATGTATCTCCATTCACCATTCAAAAAAACAAAAAAATTCAATCATCTTAGTTTTTCTTCTCCACGGTCTTGCCACATTTACTTGGCCACCAAGTCTTCTCAATACTGTCTTTACAAGTGTTTCCAAAATCCATCCACTTTTCCATTATCCAACTGCTAAGGAAGGGAGTCAATAGTGCTACTGGAGCCTGGGTGAACTGGAACCAAGGGAGAGACTGACCAGGTAGAATGACAGGGAATTGTGCCATATTGGGGACTCCTGGTTGGCCTCTGCTCCTGTCAGTTTGGAGACTCAGCAATGGTGATAGCAACATCAGTCTTGATGAAGGAAGTTCATATAGTTGAGATCATTCTTGTCCTCCATGTTTGCCACCATGGCACTGTACAATGAGCAAAGCCTGGGGAAATTGAAGAGATGTTGGCTTATGTCCACAGGAAAGGTCATCTCATTTTCTCTGGAGGACATTACTTCAGAAACACATATTTTCACACTTTGTGCCAATCCCTAGAGATTCTTCTACATACCTCCCCTTGGCCTGTCACCAGTCTTGCAGTCATGTTTTTTTCTAATCCCCTGACCAACTGGATAACTCATTAGCCACTGCATATGAGTCAGTGTAGATCTTATATCAGGTCATCTCTCTTTCCATGGAAAATGGAAAAGCAGATGTACTGGTCAACATTCTATCTGTCAGGAAGATTTCTCTTTCTGCTGTATTTTAGAACACCACTGGAAAGGACTGTGATGCAGCAGCTATCCACTTGTAGCTAATATCAGCCCACTTTGCATAAAACTGCCTCTTTTCGCTCCTCTGTTACATAGATGTAGGGAACTTCCTATAAGGCTCTAAGTATGTGTTGAAGGAGAGACGTTGAAGCAGTGGAGAAGGTACCATAGAGTCTAATTTCCTTGCTCATCTGCTTTTCTTGTGTCTTTTGGGCCAGTTTAGGCTCATTTTAGGTCTTAAAGATACTATTTTCACTTAATAATGGAATATTGCTGCACATATCTAACTTTATCATCTGGTAGAGGTGGTAACAACCAGTTCATCATGGGTAGGTAACTCAGGTTGTATAGTTACTTAGTTCATGCTTTTAATCTTTACTTGCTTTTCAAATAGTGATTGGCTGTGCAGCCAGCTTCTGTGATGGCTCCTGGTGATCCTTACGTCCTTGTATTCATGCCCTCGTGTAGATCCCTCCCGTATTGACTCTGACCTTTAGATCCAATAAAAATAATGGATAAATGATAGAGTCTGATATCTGAGGCTAGGTCATAAAAGACTGTGACTCGCACCTTGTTCTCTCTTGGATCACTTGCTCTGGGGAAAGCCAGCCACTATGTCATGAGGATACTCAAGCAGCCCTTTCACATGGTGAAGCTCCTGTCAACAGCCAGCACTAACAAACCAGGCATGGGAGTAAGCCATCCCATAAGCAGATTCTATAGCCCCAGTCAAGCCTTCAAATGACTTTAGCAGTGCCTGACATCTTGACTATAACCTGAGAGACTCGAAGCCAATCCTGCCTAGCTAAGCTGTTCTCAAATTTCTGACCCAAATTATAAATGTTTATTGCTGCTGTGTTTGGGAATACTTTATTATGCAGCAATAAATAAAGACTACATTGATAAAGAGGTCATGGCTTTGTTCTAAAACCCTAGGGATCTTTTTGGTGATTTTCCCACTGGGGCTTGCCAGAGGCTTTAAACAGTGTGTCTGTCTACCTTAGAAACTTCTTTTAAGTATTGTATCCGGTAGCTTACAAGATCCAAATGGCAAGGCAGTTCATAATATAGCCTAGACCTACTGTGGAGTCCTTTCTTGCTAAAAAAAAAATACCACCAAACTCACTCCCATTGAGTCAGATCTGACTCATAGCTCTTGGGTTTCTGAGGCAGTATCTCTACAGAAGTAGATCACCCAATCTTCCTTCTGAGGAGTGGCTGATGGGTTTGAACTGCCAGCCTTCTGGTTAGCAGTCAAATGCCTTATGCACTACACCACCAAAGCTTCCAGGATCATAAAAACAGACAGTATTATAAGTTGCCGAGTAAATAGATTGGAGCTGCACACTCAATTGTGGTATATCAAAAAACAAAACTCACTGCCATCAAGTTGATTCCAACTCATAGCAACCAACCCCTTTTGGGTTTACAGAAGTGGATTGCCCAGTGTTCCTTCCTTGGAGTGGCTTGTGGGTTTGAATTGCTAACCTTCTGGTTAGCAGTCAGATGCTTTAGGCACTACGCCACCAGAGCTCCTTGTATATGGTATTCTTGTAGTATTTGGTGTCTCCAAAATTCCAGAGTTCTGGCAAACAATGTTTCACTTCATGGTGGACATACAAGATGTAATCACTTATCTTTCACAGCTCTGGTAGCATAGTGGCTAAGGCACTTGACTGCTAACCAGAAGGCTGGCGGTTCAAATCCATCAGCCATTCCTTGGAAGGAAGATGGGGCAATCTACTTCCGTAGTGATATTGCCTCAGAAACCCAAGGAGGGGTCGCTATGAGTTGGGTCCGACTTGACGGCACATA